GTCTATGGTATCCCCAGTATCCTTCTGTAGGGTCATATCTTCGTTGCCTCAGGTCTCTTCTTTATCTGTGAAAAATTACCTACAGTTCACTTTTGCATTGTTTCTGACGAAATGTTTGTTCCGATAATTTATATAAGTACATCCAGTGTCGTTAGGGCCAAATACTTTTGTCACGCCGTGATCCAAGTAACACTTTCTTTATCAGCAAGGCTGATGCTAACCTCCACGGGAGTGACATATTACGTTTTCTTAGACTAAAGTTTTCCGCTGCCATAAAATGGAAAGATTATATTGAATCCGTTGCTAGGTCTGTTGTAAGAAAAGTTAGTTCACTCAGTCGTACTAGACAATATTTCTCGAACGAATTTATCTTACATATTTATTCGTCTACGCTATGAATTTCTGCCATTCATTGTCTAGTTCACTTCCTACGTATTTAGATACATCATATAGTAGGAAAATGAGTTGTTACGGTTTTTTGGGTATATACTATATATAACTAGTGAGCGAGTCAAAGTGACTTATTTCCCTTTATAGTCTACCAATAGAAGATTAACCAATCAGGAGCCGCAGAACACTGTATCCGTCGTGTATAAATGCGGCCATCTTTGTTTTCCCTACCGGAAGGACCAGAGCCAACTTGTCAGGCGAACACGACAGAAGGAAGAACTGCACTCTGCTGTAATATACACTGCGAACCTGAACTACGCTTTCCTACTGTCTCCGAAATATTCACTGCCAACCTCTAGATTCTATACTCGAAGACGACCGTCATGAAAATGTCTAACATGAGTAACAATAGACACCGAGTTTCGAGCGTGAGAATCTGGACTTATGAAAATAAATAGCGGTGTCAGGCTACTGACTGCGGTGATTATTGGGTGACTATTGAGTGGAACTATCCAGTCGAATTAGTGTGGATTATTGTGCGTCGATGCTTTAGGTTTTGATTCAAGATTTCCCGGACGTTAAGCCGAGCCGTGCCACTAGAAATGTATTCATTGAAATGGTTACCTTTGGCTAAATTTTACTTCTGCGTTCTTGTTAAGTATTTGCGGTGGTAATGATATACTGCTTTAATGTAAAAACGCTTGATTCCATTGGTGAAGTTGAATTAAATAGAATAAAAACATGTAATTCCAACGGATAATTTATTGTTAAAAACAAAAGAACCTTGTAAGTTATACAGGGTGTCCATAAAGTCCGTGTGCACCTTTAAAAAATGGATAACATTATTTATATTTGCGATAGAAATAATCTGCAAAAAATTTTATAAAGTTTAATACACCTAGTTTTAAGTATAGCTAAAATAACTAATGGGATTTCAGGAATTGAAATGATAATCTTTATAACATCAACAATAACACAATACTCGCCAGCGGCGTGAAGTAGGTAAACCACTGCTAGTGGTGGACTACATAGGCAGCATATCGAGCGCCTCGGCGTGGTGTAATGGTTATCGAGTTGGTCTTGCTAAAACTGTTACAACCGAATAGTGAGTTCGATCCTCACTGGGTGTCCCATACTTTCGGCCATGTCTTAGAAAAAGGGCACCTCGAGGTGGTGTAATGTTTAACAAGCTTGTCTCGCTAGAACACTTACGACGTAGTTGTGAGTTCGATTCTTGCTGACTGCTATGCTTGGACGTTAGCAAACTTACTGTCTGCTATGCCTCGACGTTAGCAAAATTGTCTTGCGAGATCAGTTACTACTGAAAAGTGAGTTCGATCCATACTTTCGGCACTGTACCACATCGAAGCTGCGACATATTACCCCACACACACTCACAATAGTGTACAGAGTATTTATGAGGATTGGGACTTACCCATTAGGGCTCATAGGTACGGTATATAGCAGGAATCGACTCCCAAGAGGATGTTTCCCCGATCACTACAATCTTAACCTGTTCAAGTCTAGAGTCACCTGTTATCTTCCCCACCTATGCGCATAAACACTGCATATTGCTCTGTTACCTTCTACCTTGAGTAGTCTGCAGTCCTTGTACAGGGTAAACATCGCTGTAAAAAAAAAATAAAGCCACAAGCATGGGACATCCAGTAAGGATCAAACTCACTGATCTGCGAGACAAGATTCCTGACTATTACAACAGAAGGAGGCACCTTTTAAATTGATTTTGCATTTGTCGGAAAACAGCATTAGCAAAATTAAATCAGTTCGATATATATTTTTACTAAAGGTACCCGCAATAGAAATATTAGGGGTCAATTAAGGGACAGGGTTACTAAATGATGGATTTATTCTTTTTCTACGGTTTTTTAATACGTTGTAGGTTATTTAAAGCCAGAAATATTTTTAGATTGTATGATTTTTTTTGATTTTTTTTTTTTTGAGATAATGATAGCTTAGTGATACAAGTCTTACTAATTAACCCATAGCTAAGGGCAGAAGAGGTGGATTTATATCTAATCAGAATTTGATAAACAAACAAGAAATTATAGTGTGGATATAAAGTGGGAGATCAATTGTATTTTACAATCAATATTTAAACAGATCCCTTACATTGTGGTCACGGTAGCTTCTATATATTTATATGCCAGAGAATGTAAATAAATAAAAAAATTAAAAAAAATAAAAAACATGCCCGTATATCTAATCCGTATTTCACTGATTGATTAGTTTTTTACTGTTTATTAAACCTTTGTGATACCAATGAACAATCGTTGCCACTTTCGTAATTGCAGATACAACTAGAGTAACGCCGTTGAACAATACTGGTGTCAGACGCCTTCGAACAATCTCGCACTAATAGTACTTGATAATACTCGCTTGAATAGTAGCCACCGAATAGTGATATGAATAGAGAAATAGTATAGTGAACAGAATAGATAATAGCTGTCTGTATAGTAATAGAGGATAGACTAGAAATAGTGATCCGTTTATTATAGAGGATAGACTAGAAATAGCGATCATTTAGACGTCACGCGATTTATTATATATGCGTTTCCTCTATGCTCACGTGATCCACTTAATTCAGTAATGGGATTGCCTGTGTTTGTTCTCCGGCGATCTATGTTCAAACTCAAGTGTCGGCAGCGACACTTTATTCCTATATAAAACAACCCGATGCAGATTTTGGAAAGCCAGCAAATATTTTTATATTATAAGAATTTGGTTGGGGGAAATGATAATGCTTTAGTATCACACGTCTTACTATTTAACCCACAGATGGAGAGGTCGATTTATACCTTTCCCAATGGCATTTGTGCGTAAGTGAACCTAAAGAACACGATACGAATTAGAACTCGCCCCCTCCCCAATCAACAATTATACGACCCGCACATTAAAGTTTACAGCACCTGGTATTCCCAAGCGGTCACTCTACTGACTAAGCTAGATGTTGCTTAACTTGGGTGTGCATACGAGAATCTGGGTTACTAAATGAGTTTTTTGCATGGTTGTATGTGCCGGAAGTGAGGAATAAGTGCAGATCGTAAGAATATGTAGGATAGGTAATGGCTGACCTTGAAGTGGTGAAGATTGTAGTGTTTAGGGAATCATCCCCACCTCCCGATTTACCAAAAAGGACGGTATGGAATTTTCTTTTTATCAGTAGAATACAAAGGCAATATGTATATATGGCCTGGCGTGCCTTATCTGTAAATGTCTGAACTGATGTCTTTAGGCGCTAAACCCTCCTTTTTCTGTTGGAACTTGATTATACCAAGATGCCAAATCTTGTCTATTTTCAAGAGAAGTCGCTCTAGTTAATTCTGAAGTCTTCTTTGAATGGCCAAATATCAGTTTACATAGAAAGACACAATGCAGTTATTAATAATAGCTGAAATTAATGCATGCAACATTTCACAATTCTAGCATAACGTCTTCATAGTCAGCCTATGAAGTTTTCAGCCCACCTTCGTACAGCATATTTTAATATTATTAATTATGCTGTAGATTAAATTTCGAAATATCCAATTCAAAATACCAACAGGATTTTTTCCCCTTTTCTCCCGACCTGTGATATTAATATTGACAAAGCTACGGATTTTTAAACAGAAAATGGCTTCATTTGAATAATGAAGCAATTCAATTATTATCAACAAAACAATTGTTTATTTTAAAATACTACGAAGGAGCACATTAAAAAGGAATAAGAAAACATATTTTTTAATGTTATTTTAAAATTAGAAATATTATATGTCCAGTAAACAAGAAGGGTGACGTTGAACAATATGTATATCTTGGTTGAGGTAACGTACAAAACTTGATTGATATCACGGTTCGGCGAAATTTATGCACATATATACAGTAACAGTTTTATGTATACGTTATAAAATGGACAAAGTCCGACAAATTATTTTAAGACATTTTTATGTTTATACATTGTTTTTATAGATACAAATATTTAAGTAAATGCTCTGTTTTTATAATAGACAGTATTTATAACATTTAGCGGCCTGAACGTCCGAGAAATTTTCATAGAAAATATTCGTTCTCCGACAGGAATCGAACCTGTTTCCTATACTGGACCGTCATTTAGCCTAACGTGCTCTTAACCGATCGGGCCACAGAAGATCGTTCGATTAGCAAGGTCGAATTTACTGCCTTTAAACTTCAATCTTCCATGAATCTCTCACGTACATACATATCTGCTCAAAGTGTATCCAAATGACGTCATACATAATGAAATGGACAAAGTCCGACAATTATTTATTCAGGACGGTAAATGTTATGAATAATGTTTATTAAAAAAACAGAGCATTTACTTAAATATTTGTATCTATAAAAACAATGTATAAACATACAAATTTTATGTATATAGATCGCTAATTTTCGGTGATCGAATCTATGCACAAAGTTTGAGCTTCGGATTATATGAATATGAATTATGCGAATATTCCACAGTAGGAATCCTTCATCTGGAATGTCTTTGAAAGCTGCAGAGAATGTTGGACTGGATATGGAACCTATTTGCATGTCGATCTCGTCTCAAGGAAATGAGAATTCTGTAATTTTCTAAAAATGGTTATTGAATCTGGATGCTGATTCAATGCGTTTTTTTTTCTTTCTTTTTTTTTTCTTTCTTTTTTTTTCTTTCTTTTTTTTTCCTTTTAGGCTACTTTTTCTTTTCTACATTTAATTTTTCTTTCAATTTTATCTTTTTATTTTCATTGAATTTTATCTTTTTATTTTCATTTTTCTTTGAATTTTTATCTCTTTATTTTCATTTTTCTTTCAATTTTATCCTTTTATTTTCATTTTTCTTTCAATTTTTATCTTTTTATTTTCATTTTTCTTTCTTTCGTCTTCCTTTCTTCTTCCTTACCTTTTGTTTTACTTTCTTCTTTATCTCTTCCGTTGCATCCTTCTCTTTCTTTTTTCTCTTTTCTTCTTTCTTTTCGTTTTTCTCCTTCATTTTGTTCGCTTTCTGTATCGCGTTCTTTATTATATTTTTCTTTTTCTTCATATGTTTTCATTCATCCTTCTTTCATTCTCTTTCTTTCATTCTACTTCGTTTTTCCTGATTACTTTTTCTTCTACTAAATCTTTTTAAATTTCTTTCCTCTTCTTAATTTCCTTCTTATTTAACTCATTCTTTCTTATTTTTCTTTTTTCCTTCGGCTTTATTTTTCTTCTTAATATTTTTCTCTCTTCCTTACTTTCCTCTTTATTTTTCCCTTATTTTTCTTTATTCTTCTTCATTATCTTCTTTTGTTTCTCCTTCCCCCCCTCTATTCATTCATTATACTTTATTTTGCTTTCTTAATGTTTTGATTTCTTCATCTTTATATTTTTTCATTAATTTTTTTCTTTTTCCACTTTTCCTCTTTTTTGTTACTTTATTTCATTTTACTTTTTTTTCTACTTTCTTCTTTTTTCTCCTTTCATCTTTTCCTTCCTCTTTATACTATTTTTTTTCTTTTTTCTTCTTCTCTAACTTTTTTAATTTATTTTCTTTCATTTTCTTTTTAGTTTTTTTATGTTTTCCTTTGCTTTCTTCTCTATATTTTCCTCTTGATTTCTTCTTCTTCTTTCTATTCTTCTTCATTTTTCTTCTTTATCATCCTTTTAATAAATTTGGCTTTATTTCTGTTTTTCTTTCGCATTCGTAATTTTCTTTTTTTTGTTTTTCCAACTTTTAATTCTGTCAATTCTTTTTTTTTAATTTTTGTTTCAATTTTTAAAAGAATTTTCTGTCCTTTCTTCTTCTTCATCTCTTTATTCTTTATTTTTCTTTCATTTTTCTTACTATTTCATTATATATAATTATATTTAAAATTGTGTATAATATATAGATTTATATAAAATATATATATATGTGTGTGTGTGTGTGTGTGTGTGTGTATGTATACATACATATATATTTAAAAACTATAACATGAGCATGTTATAACATTGCTACAAAAATAGCCATTTTCTTTCAACACTTCTATTGTCTTGTCAAGTGATGGTGTTGATTGCAAAAATAAACACCATCACTTGACAAGACGCCAGAAGTGTTGAAACAAGACGGCTATGATGTTATAACATGATTATGTTATCATTGTTAAGTAAATGTTATTCGCTCTACTTTGTATTGAACACTTTTTAAAAAAAAAAATACTGATTTTGGTAATAAGAATTTTATTCCATCTATGCCAACCCTGTATTCGGTTATATATATATATATATATATATATATATATATATATATATATATATAATTTGTATATCCTTGCTTGAACCAGCTTCTAATGCTCTGGATGGAGCGGCTTGGTGATGGTAGTCGTGGCTCGGAGGCACAGTTTTATGGGTAAAGGAACTTGGATGAGTTCCACCACGGAATATGTGAACGAGCGGCGCTATATCGAGTCTAGTTCGCTACTTCTTCATCACCGAGGTCCGTTAGTACAGTTGGTATAACGTAATGTAGCTGTCCGGGTTTCAATTCTCGGTAGTGGATGCGCACTGATGATGAGTCCCAAATATAGGACGAAACGGCCGTCCATTGCTTTCTGCAATCCGTTGAGGTTTCTTCTAGACTCGATGAATTACTTAATTATCTCAAATCCTGCTTAATTTCTATCATTATATATATATATATATATATATATATATATATAATCAGGAATGCCACTAATATGCAATGGGTGAAAGCGAGAGAAAAGACTGAGTATAGGAAGGATTGAGAAAAGTAGAAATAATGAACTTGTTTCATGAAGATAGAAAATAGCGATTGACGGTGAATTTAAAATTTGGAAGATTGTAGTTATCAAGAAACCGAGCAGCCGGAAGGGAGTTTCACTGTCGGGAAATGCGAGAAAAAACTGTTGGAGTAGAAGTAGCTGTTGCATTTTACTACATGATAATCTAGTGACACACTTAAATTCGTTCAGTCGGGGCACCAAGGAAAAAAATGTTAGTCAATGCCATTACCATCAAAATATTTGTAGAAAAGGAAACCACCTCATACCGATGAGAATGAGACCGAAGTCGAAATTGCAGTTTCAGGATCGATTACATTCCAGGTCCTTCTTTGAATTTTCTCAAGAACCTCGA